CCAAACACCTGAAGAAGGCTTGGTTGCTTTGCAGACGGCAGTGGGCACTGTTGCTTTAGGCCACAGGCCATGCCGCAGTCCTCAGGTCCTATTTATTTTCTGAAACCTACACCATATCAATAATCTTGTACCTGGATCAGGTGTGTCTATAAAGCAATAGATATGGAAAGAAAAATGACAATTTTGAACCATACCATACCAGATGGGTTGCTGAAAGATGGATGATCCCTTCATGAGATCAAAAATATAAGTCAACTCGCCTTTTTAGCACCATGTTTTGGTGGTCATACTGACCATCATTGGCAACCAAGCTGCAATAGAAAACTTGAGATAATATATTAGAATTTGACCATCTTTTAACAATAATAATAATAATAATAATAATTAAAAGATTCTTAATCGAGAACTGTAGTATGTAGGCACAATAATATTTACTCTCCTTCAACACCAGAAATGGCAGTGTCAACATAGTTCATGCAGGGGTACTTGCTTTATATGTAAGCATCATCACTCCTAGTAAGGATAGCCATCCTCCTATACTACTTTAATAAATCAACCAAAATTTTGCTTAACCAGTAACTGTTTGCAAGGGGCTAATTTTCCATAAATTTATCAAGTGGATGGCCACAACAAAAACTCAGGTTTCTAAGATTACGCCCTCAGATGCAAGTAGAATCATTGGGAGGCCAAAACCGTTCAGTTATGTTGTGTTTGCCATCGAACAGATTCAGAAATCACACGCTCCATTAGAAAGCTTTGTAACATGCACAAATGGAAAAGGAATTACTTATCAAATATTTGAAGACCGGCTGCCTTATGTCTCTCTCCTGGTCCTCCTGGGACTAGGGGCAGATGCATCATCTTTTCCATTCTCTTCTCTCTCTTCAATGTTTCCCGGAGCATCAGTCCCGCCGGCATTCTTAGTTTCAGTTGTCGGTGAAGCGGGAGCCTGTCCGATGCAAAAAGGTTTTAGGGATCAAAGGAACATTAAACTGCAGGTGGGAATGAACATAAAGACAGACCACATCAAAAACAACTCGCCTGAGGCTTCTTTCTGCCAAAGAGAAGCCTCAAGATTGTGGTGGCAACTACCACTACAACGGACACTAGGAAACCAACGGTGAGGATGGGTTGTTTCTCTGCCTTCTCAGTGACATCCTGCAATACAAAGCTGGGTAAGACCTTGGAAAATGTCATAAATTGTATAATGCGATCCCAGAAACACGAACAGGGAAAACCAAATTACTCCTCCAAAATAACTGGTGATTTTAAAGAAAATATGACCCATATGATATCACTCAAGTTATTTTTCATGTCGCGATGCTAATAGGATTGTGAAATTGGTAATAGAAAGGATGCTTAGTAATATGGACAAGGGAAAGAAAAATCACAACTCACAATAATTTGGTTATTGTATGCCTCCAAGAAAGGAATGTCTGCTATCTTGTAAAGAACATCAAATACTTTCTTCTGCAGTAAAATTTAGGGAGTGATGAATATAAATGTGAGTTCAAAGGAAATAATACTCGAGTAACTTAAAGTGAAACTAAAACTGATACAATAGAAAAGTCACCTGAAAATCCGAAAGCACATCTGATGATGCAGAAGCAGCAGTCTTTAGCCTTCTGCTTTTCTTTCTCAATTTCATATTTAGGCTTCCACGTTTCTGCCCTATATGACTCAGCAACCTTCTCATTGCTAACAATCAAAATATTGTCAAAGAGAATGCCATCCTGCATCGTCCAAATCTCAATGCCAATAGCGGTAATAGGCTCAAAATCTGGTTTGTCAAGCTCAAAGTAGTCAGGGTTATCTATCACTTGCGGCTTCCAGATACCCTTGTAGTTTGGGTTGTCAATTAAAGGAGCATGCCATTTTCCCTTGTATTCTGCGTTCCTCTTCATTGGCCTCTTCCACTCTCCACAGCCAGGTGCTGCTTCACACTTGGGATTGTCAATTTTTGTAGCTTCCCATTCTCCATCCTCTTCGTCATCCCAATCTTCTGGTTTTGTGGCTTCAGGGTCATCAATTTCTTCAGGTTCGTCAGCCAATCATCCTTCAGGCTTGACAGCTTCCTCATCTTCAATCTCCATTGGTGCATCTTCATCCCAGTCATCAGGTTTTACAGCATCAGAGTCCGGAATTTTAGCCCTCTCATCCCAATCCTCAGGTTTCTTATCATTGGGATCAGGGATTGTCTTGGGGGGAATAAATGCTGGTTCAAAGTGATCAGCAGAAAAGAAATTTGTTTTTCTCTTTTCTTCTCCATCAACCAAAATTTGTAGCTCATTACCGGGTTTGAAAACAGCAGTACAGACATGCGAGAGTTTGTCATATGGGACGGATCGAGGGTACTTCAAATGATGTCCTACAAACTTCCCAGTTTTTGGATTCTTGTGCTGAAGAATGAAATGCACTTTATCTGTGGACCCACACTTATCAGGTCCAAACATGATAGTAAATGGGGACTCATTGTCGAATCCTTTGGGAGTCCATCCAGTTTTCTGAGCACTGAGGTATTTCAGATATGCCCCTCCGCATTCAAGTCCATTCTGCAGTCAAACTTCAAACTGTAGAACAACAGTTCCATGCTTCAAAGTGATGGGTTCATCGAGTTCCTTGACTATTGCATATTTCCTAGCCTTCTCACTCACAAGAAGTCCTTAGTCTTCATGACCATCACTCTTTGAGTGTTTCCATATACCTAATCAACAAATAAAAGCTCTGAGACAGAAAAGGCACTGGGTGACAATAGATTGTAGTGGGAGCAGAATGTAAGAGTAATTTTAAAGCAGGTTTTTGGAGTAGATAACAATGCACAGCACTGCAACTGACGCCAGAGTATCATTATCGATAGTACTGTTTTACAACAAGATCTAGTTCTATGTATCCGTAAAACCAGAAATGTAGGAGAAAGGACCATCACCTAAAATAATTAAGCTTCTTTTGTGCTCATTGTTACAGGAAGCCTTTATGTTAATTGTATATTTGTTTCTCTTGACATCAAATTCAAGATGTATATTTGTTTCTTGTGATAGAAATTTCACGCTGAGGTAAGTAGATATTGGCTTTATGTTCTGAGCTCATGCATACTACACTTACAACATGCTCACGTGATGAAATTGAAAAAACAGGCTTTGACTTGAAGGGATGAACATATACTGTGATATTTCTTCTCTCACTAATTTTACATAGTTGATGGCCTTTTATGCATTTTAGTACCACAAATAACATTTTGTATACCTGTCCAAATCTTTTTAGTTCATGTGTAGTTATCCGCTATCCTCAATCTAATAAATGCCTCATTAATGATTTGATATCCTTATCATATGTTTCCTCCAGAAAAAGATATTTCTGGAGTCGGATATTTCAAAATTGAAAATATATTCAATGCTTGGATTGGAAGTTATAAAAAAGATTAAAAACTCAACTAGAAACCTATTAAACTGGTCAAAATAGTAATCAGCCAAAATTTCAGATCACAAAGGTGTAAATTTACCAAATAAGTGGATAATACATCCCACAGAGATCCAAGTCCCCAACAGGTAAATCATACCAACAAATTGATGGAATAATTACAAGCAAGGAATGAACCAATGAAGGATCCAATAACGATTGGTCATATGTAGCAAAAACAAACTACACACACCCTTGATCTGGTAGGTCAAATTGAGAAACATGTAAGCCCAGGAGTTATGACTTGTTTGTCGTCCCTTTAAATATTTGCAAGCTGAATTTAGTTTTCTAATGCCATAAGCCCTTAGCACACAAATTAAAAGACTAATTCAACCAAGTTAATGCAATAGAGCATATCTGGGTCATGTTAATCCAATCAATATATTCTGGTGTAAAAAGCTCTCACAAACCACCAATCAAAGTAAATTAACTGCAATAAATGCAGACATTTCCTTTATAACTAAAGCTTTAGATCTTTGGGCCGGAACTACGCAAAATACAACAACAATATAAGCAATCAAATAAAAAATATGCTTATGCAAAAGAGAGTCATTGAATTCAAGATCTTCGAGGTTTCATTACTTCAACTGTTTTACTCGAATTCTCATAAGCTATTCTTTTAATGATGCTTGGAACTGCGAACCACTCATCGATCAGAAGATCATGGAAAGCAAACAGACCAAATGTAAGATGATGTTTTACGCGTTGACACAGGTGATGCTATACCATGGTAATTCTCCTTCTCGGACACGATCCACCGCCCCTCGAACGACTCATCAAACGACTCGTAGAACAACCGAATCAAAACCACAGATCTTCAAATTTAAGAGAAAAAAACAAACAAGAGAAGAAGAAATAATCCGCTGAAGAAACAATTACCGGATCCGACACAGAAATCTGCGGTAGAGACGACGCGATCAGCAGCAGGAGGAACGGCACGGCCATCTTGGTACCGCCCATCGTGACGGGAGGCGTCGAACCCTAACACGAGATCAGAACGGTAACGACGCGAAGGTGAGGGGACAAATGAAAAGCGAGCGCAGCGGGATCTTGAGGAGTATCCGACGGCGCATATAAGCCCACGTTAGCCTCTCTGGACGGGCCCGATGAAAGAGACAGAGGGCCCACCATGGCAACAGCCTCGCTCGATATTGTCCCCACCAATAACATGAATTACCACGTTGAGGTGGCCAATATTCTATTGCCACGTCGTTCCTCCTCGTTCAAGTCCCTCCACGTCATACGGTGTGGATCATCGTCCCTATATATATATATATATATATATATATTGTCGTACTTATGATACTAAACCGATAGCTCTGACCCAATAGCATCTCACCACGTCATCTACTTCTCGCAAGGCGATGCCTAGCCTTTGCACGTGAGTCGCACGAGACCACCGAGGCCGTGGATCCTCGATACCTTGAATGGACGGTCACGATGAAAGTGCCTCATCCAAAAAGTACGCAATGATTGCATCTGACATACATATACATAGCCCAGCATGTTATTTGGCCGAACTCGTGTTATTGAAACGATGGCTGTAAGTAAAAAGCCTATCTACCTATGTAAGTCAAGTTCATGCAAAAAGGAGTTTGCATTTACAGTGACTCGATAGCGTTTCCAGCTTGGACGTTCTGTACAAACTCTAAACCCATTTAAACCTCATATTTACAGGACCACCAAACTCTACTCGAGAGTGGCGTTTCGGCAGCTTCAACAGCTGATGACAGACACAGTAGCAGACGACACATTTACATCGACACAGGCAGTAAGGTCAGGATTAATTGAGAGAGAGAGAGAGAGAGAGGAGGGATCATGCTAGAGCTGGGGCAACACAGTGCTTCTCAGAGCTCCTCCCACAAGCAAATCCTTCGATTCTCACCTTGGGGCTCCCTCCCAAGGAAGATCCACAGGTCGGAGACCCTCTTTCAACTCTTCCGGCCTGCTTCATCCCGGGGGAGTTGGCTCGAGGAGAAGCCAAGGACTGGGCTTGTTTGGCAAACTGCACATCGTGGATGACCGGATTATTAGTGCGTACGGGAGGAGATCCACGGAAGAAGCCACCCACTTGGTTGCTAGAGTCAGGATCATTGTCTAAGTCATCCTGGTAGCAAGCCAGCTAATTAGAATTGCCTGCCACATCAATAAAAAGGAAGACTATGAACTTGGTATATGAATGTCAGTCAGAATAATACCTGGCTCAGGATGAGTTCAAGAATCTCAGGAGCACAATCCACTCTGTACATGGGCAAAAAGCTGCAGAAAGATGTTCAGCAAATTTAGTGAACAATTAAACCACAAAAGCGAGCACCGATGAGAATCAGCAAAATTGCACAACATAATAAGATTAGTAATGCACACTCACCCCTTTGGCTTAGAACTGACTCTATTGAGAGCATTAATGAAATAAGGGGCTCTTGTGGCTCGACGGGGTTGAGGACAAATGACCTCAGACCTGGGATTTGGTTGGTTATCAATTTGCCAAAACCTAGATCTTCTATCAGACATGCAATCATGATAAAGTTGTCCAATGGAATTAACTCTCACTGGGCAGTTCTCCATTTTGTAATTATCCTGTATCACAACAATAGAAGCACCAGAAAATGATAAAGGATCAGTCATGGGCATCTGCATATTTATTACTTTTTTCAAGAACATAAAGTGCAAAACTCTAATTTTCCTAAGAATTTCGTTTCATATAAGGCTTATTACACCTGTGCTTCATATATGCAGGGCAAAAGCACAGATCTAACACATCTAAAGGATACTATAAAATCGCTGACTAAAACCAATATTACATTAGTATGAAATGTATTGACATAAAGAAAACATCCTATGAAAATATTACATATAGTTTGGCTTGTCAATTCACTTGAATAAAGACAAGGTACATAAAAATAAAGATGCATTGTAAGCCAAAAGTCAGATGGTCTCATAGGAAAGATGTATATTTTATTCAGAAATCCAATATAATGTTGCGATATTTAAAGAGGTAGTAGGATAAATATGTTCATCCATGAATTCCCAACAACATAAATTTAACAGCACAGAAAAATTTGCCCAAAAGCAACGATAACATTCTTTCAAATAATACTAGAAACAAAAATATAAGATAAACTAGGAGAGGAAAAGAAGATCAACCGATACTTAATTCTGATATGATCATTATCTACCAACAAAATCAATCAAAAGCCAATTCCATGAGGTGACCATCGGAACCACCATGAAAAGGTGAAACTCTTAACTGAAATCTAGAAAGACCAAAAGACACTCGCAGCACTTAATATGAAACATGGCTTACACGTGAATTTGGTTGCTCTTAAAATAATGTCCAAGCAAAACTTTATCCCAAGAAGACATGTACAAGTCTTTAGGCAACACCAGCCACAGAACCTAAGGAACTCACAAATGTAAATGTTACAGAGAGCTCCAACTATAATGACTATTCATAAAGACTCCTCGGTGAATAGACCTGTCATTTAGATGTTGGGTAAAAGACTATAGATAAATGTTCTCCACGAAAGGCAGAACAACATCTGCAAAGATTCCAACAGGCAACCTAATTCCAGAAATGTCAAAGCTGCTTGGGAATGTGGGAATAAAATTCTTCCTTCCATCAAGCAAAGGAAAAGGAGATTCTGTTGAATAGATTCCTCCTGCCAATTCACAAAAGTTGCTTCACTCGAGCACTATCCGGTTGAACACCATACGGTAGGAGATTGGTTTGAATACCAAACAAATTAATAGAAAAGTAACCACGGATAAGTAAAAGAAACCTTCTTTCTAAGAAGCAGCATTATTGTTGATACTCCAATTTCAAAGAACTTTCCCTAGACGCACTAACGATTAGCGTTACTTTTGATTCTTCGGAAGAGAAAAGCTTCGATCAATTTAATAGAACCAGAAAGCAACCGCAAGAAAAAATCTGTAGGCTTATCTGATGTATTTGGTTTCAAATGAACTAAAAACAGTAAAGCAGATCCTAGGTCATGCGACAACATGAACAAATTGGCCAGAAGACCAAATACATTTTTGACATCAAGTAAATGAAATGCGAGGATCCCTGGATTTTCCAGGATAGAAAACCTTTAGAATCGATGACAAACTGAGAGCAGGAACCAGTCCATGTGCGGCCAGATTGCATCATAACCACGAGAAATGTATCAGGTCTTGCAGAAGAAAAAAGAGCTTCTTTTTTCCTTGAGAAAAGAGGTCTCACATGAGATTTAAATGCACCGGACAACGCAAGTTACAGATAGGTCATATAAGAAACAAAAAATTAGAAGGAAAGCAGAAAACATCACGGAGGAGGATCTCAGCCTTCCACAAGTAAATTTTCAGAAATAGTACAGACAACTCCAAGAGAAAATCTCACAAATCCACCAAAACAAGGAAAGGAAATGCGTGAAGCTAAATTTAAAACGGCAAAAACCCTAATCTCACATTACCATGTAAAAATCGCCGATCCTCCCCTATATTAGAAGATCTAAGCCAATAGCCAGGAGGGCGCCGCTATTTTACAGCAAACGCACCAGATCCCGCGCCTAACCCCGAGTTCCTCGTCAAGATCGAAGCGATCGGGCCATGAAGACCCAGATCCCCATTGTGTGCAGCGTCCGAAACGCTACGCGCGGGTGTAGGAGGGAGAGGAGAAGCACACCAAAAGCGTGAGAGAGGAGAAGCAACGAGGGAAACCACGTCCTCCTCCTCCTCTCTCTCTCTCTCTCTCTCTCTCTCTCTCTCTTCTTCGCCTCCGCGAGAGACGGCGAGGGGGTAGCCGTGCTACTCTCTCGCGGCCTTATAACGACCCCCGCGAGGCCTCGATTTATTCCCGATCTAACCGGTGGTCACGGACGCCTTAATACTCCACCGCTCCACTTAGTCCTTCTCGTTTTCCACTAATCGTTATATAACTCCTCTTAAGTTGAATTAACGGCTACCATTAATACCTTCTCTTTTGTGACCCTCTCCTACCCGTCCCTCGTTAGTCGTGAAAGCCAGCTGTTACTGCCCTTTACGTGATTGTTCTCATTAGTGGATTACCAAGCGAATACCTGTCTTGTGGTTGGCGCGATATCGGGACCCCTTTTGTTGGTCATACAGGTGGCAGGTGGGGAAGACGTCTCCCTTCGGGAATGATCCGTTCCCGCACCGAGTCTGACTCGCTTGTCCAAACCGGGTTAACGCGGAGCAGTCGCCACCGACCGTACCTAGGGGAAACGCCTATCATTCCTTCTTCTACTTTCTTTTCTTACCGGCACTGTCACCAATCGGGGAACTGGGTAGCTCAAGTGGATCCCACGATAGGGCCCAGAAACGACTGAACTCGTTCCGAGCGACTCGGCGAGTCGAGGGGGAGCCTCGGGGCGAGCGACAGCCACGCGCGCGTGGTCGCCGTACCACGATTCTCCCGGCCTTTGCCCAACTTTGGATCAAACGGCCGTTTTCCCGTCCGTCACTGACATACGAACTCCGTGAACAGCCGTCAGTAAAGACGACAGGCGCGGCAGATGAAGTACTTTGATTTCTTCTCATATAGCCGTCCGATTCTGATCGTACGGTTGATAACATCCGATTCGGATAAAAAGCGATGGCTGGCCATACTTACCGTCGTGTCCTTGGGAAACGTCTCCGTCTTAAGTCGAAACTTGTCGATTAGCATTTAACGGGAGCGGCATTACGTGATTATATTATTTAATTCCCAAAGTTTCTTTATATATATATATATATATATATATATATAAAAGAATCTAAGAAAAATATCGATGTCCGAGGAAGACATGGAATCTTTGGTTGCGTGGAGGAGTCAGTGTGCCTTCGGTCAGGGTTGACCGTGATTCCGGTTGGCTGACTTTTGGTCAAAGTTATCATTTTTTATTACATAAAACATTTTTGCCCCACAAATCAACCCTACTTTGTCTCGAGTTTGAGTAAAGTTGAAGTATATCATCTTTCAAATGTTGCCACCAAAATATTCAAATTGAAACGATTATGTTCAAAGCTGCAACTATTTTACTTCAGTTGTTCCTCGTCCTTTGTAAAAAGGGTCTCTCTCTTTTTCACTTGCTGTTCTTCTTGATTTAGTCACTTTATGACTTCAAAATTCCATTTTATGACTTCAAAATTGTGCATGCATTTATTTATATTGGCAAGTTGACTCCTATTGTGAAATCACATAAAGTTTATATCAAGATATGTTAATATTTGATTAATTAAGGAATTAATTGGGAATATAAACAACATAAATATCAGTGCATTTGTATTTTTAGATTCCTTATCTACATCTTTATCAGTGTTCTTCAGCATCTGCTTCTTTGGTTGTCATCATCCTCCTACCTTTACCTATTCTCACACACATGATACATGTGCACAGAGCAAACAGACATGGACAAGCAAAGGAGAGTGTTGTCTGCTTTTGTGGGGTGGATGTGTGATTGATTAGTATTTCTTCCTAACTTTTTGGTCTCCATCAACTTCACCAGAGAATAACATTTTCTTTTCCTTTTGTTTATGACCGTAAGAGATGACATGCCTCCTTCCAATCTGATCTATTTCCCAATCCATGAATGAAACTTACAATAACATTTCAGATTTCATGTGTCTGTCATGTATGAGAATTTCTTTGGATTCAACAAAGCTCACAACTTTGTCTTCTTTCCTTCTGTAATTGCAAGTATAGTAGTACATCAGTTTGAGTCCATATAATGATTGGTATGTTGTACACCGAATTCTTTTACTTTGTTGTTACTACTCGTAGTAGTAACAACTAGTCCTCACTTAGAATCTTCCACTGGCACTGGCACTGGTACTGGTGGCAGTGACTTGTTCAAGCCAAACTTCCAATTTAACTACTCAAAATAGTAGAAATTTTCCGAAAATTTGATGATGAGTTCTTTGTATCAAAACTAGTATATGTTTGTTCTATCACGCACTACTTGGAATGCATGCTGGAGATGAATTTTGTGTAGAAAGCTTCTGTGTTTGCATCTTCTGAACAAGGAAGGTATGAAGAGAGATACAGCAGTTTGTAAAGGAGTTACTCGATCAAAGGCTTCCTTCTTTATTTGTCATCCAATGATCACATTTATTTTGGTACAAGGCATTATCACATCACAAGCACGTAGTCAAGAAGACTTCTTTTATTGTATGACATGGTCACTTGGCAGGTGCAGGGTCAACTCCTTGTTCTTGATCCAAGTGTAGTGGTGGTTGGCTCTTTTGGGTGGTGAGGTTGATGTGCACGCCGGGGCTCCCGAAGATGCAGGAGGAATCGACGAGCAACGAGTTGTTTACAGTCTGCACGTTGCTGTTCACCCGTGTGATCGATGGTTTCTGCTTGATCGCTGCCTTTGTCGTCTCGCCTTCTTCAGTCTGTGCTTTACCCTCCATGTTGTCGTCATGGAGCTGCTGCTTTCTGCTGTGATAGGCGTAGGAGGAGCCGAGATCCATGTGAGCTCCGAGGTTGTGCCCTGCGATGGTGACGGCCCTCGTCTCGTTCTCCTCCTCCTTCTTTGCAGCTGCGGCCTCCGCGTGCTTGGAGGAGCCGTAGTGATTGCTACTGTGGTTGTTCTTGGGTGGTTCCCCTGCGCCATTGCTGGAAGTTCTTGTGCCGTCGTTCTTGATACCGTTGTCTCGCTCGAACGTGCGCTTGGGTTCAGGCTCCGGATGTGGCGTCGGAGTGGCGGAAGGCTGTGTGGTGTTGCTCTTGGGGGAGGGGGGCGGTGTTGGGGGGGAGGTCTCGATGACCTCGGGAGATCGAGGAGGAGTTGGGGAGCGGATCGTCACTATGGGCTTCAGGGACGCCGTTAGGGTTTCCACAGTAGGAGAAGGCTGAGTTGAGCCGGCTATGGGGGGCTGTGGTGGCGTCGGGGAGGAAGCCTTGACGACTTCCGGGGACTGGGGAGGAGTTGGGGGCCGAGTCGCTGGTTTTGAGACCTCTGTAGCAGGAGGTGGTAGAGGACGTGGTGTTTCCTGAGGCTGAGTTGGAGGCGGCGGAGCTTGTGTCGGCAGCAGAGGTATCCCAGCAAACGGCGAAGCTCGAGGAGCCGGTGCCGGCTGAGCCTGCGGCGGTGGTGGCGGTGGCTCCATCCTGGCCAGCGAGGCGAGACGGAGCAACCACGAGCGGCCGGTCGGAAACTGGTTTGCCATCGCACGCTCACTCTGTCACTCGACGGAGACCTCTAAAGAGGAGATGGTGGGGTACGAGAGGCTCCCACCAACTCCCTATTTGTAGGGAGGGGGGAGTCGAGAGGCGACGCCGGAGTTGGAGTGCTGACGGCAGAGGATAAAAGGCTAAGGCAAAGCATCAGATACGTGGGCAGAGGAGAGCAAGGAAGGTGATGATAGCGGCCATGAAGGAGAACAAGGTTGGTATCGGATTGCTTTGAGGTGTCGATCGAGAAAGGACGTCGACTCCATCAGCCGCAGGATTCATGTCCGCGTTCTCGGTGCATGTCTGCCATGGTGGAGGACGCCAACTTGCATGGGCTTCTCTCTTCTCACGGAAGAGAGGCAAAGGTGGTGGACGAGAGCGTGACACGTCTTTGTCATCGGATGGGTCATTGATCGAACAAACATATTTAATATATTTCAAAAATATAAATATAAATATATATATATATATAATATTATAAAATTAAATTTATTATATAGTGACAAAAGGATTATAGGAAAAAAAAAAATAAGACATATTGAAGAAAATAAAGAGTAATAAATACAATAGAGTCTCTCCAATAGTTATGAACTGATTGGGATAATTACAGATATTGTGTCAGCTGATAATATCTAAAACTCTCTTTAAAAAAAAAAAAAAGTAAATTTCTGGAAAAAATCGTTTTCAAAATTCCACATCTCTTTTTTGCCTAAAATTTAGAATATCCTTTTCCCTTCCTTTTCCTATGGTTCATTGTGTCAAATGATTCAATTATAATATTTTTATATTACAAATATTTTTAGAATCATAGAAAAACATTGTAGCGCAATATATAAAATATTATATTTTTTTATAAATTTTATAAAAATATTGTGTTTATAATGTTTTTACACTGCATTATAGTGTTTTAAATAATACTAAAAAATTTTATAATGCAATAAAATACTATAATATAATAATTTTATTTTCAATAATATTAATAAAATATTTTATTTTTATTATTAAAAATAATGAAATGAATATATGTAAATTGACTTCAGATGTACTCATCAGACCTTTATAAATCAATCTTAATTTTTGTTCATTTTCTTTTCAATATAAGACTAATTGAGAGTATTACATGTATTTCCTTACAAAATAAATTTGAGGAAAGGTAGAAAGATTTCAATCACAGCCAATTTGTATCGATTGGTCTTTTATCAGGATAAATTAAGCAGGCAACGACGGATGTCAATTAACAAAAACACATTGGTGAAGATATGTTATCATTAACAGTGGTAGAACAATAACTCGTACAAGTCAGTGTCCTGATCAGAACCAACACTCAGCTTCACCAACAGAAGGCGAGACAACCATCGATGGATCAAATGTACTAAACTCTGTAGTTGAAGTCGCGAGTAGCCTTCAGCATAAGGCTATGGCTGGCTCAGCCGGAGCAGGCATCACCATTGAGAAGTTTGATGGCTCAGGTAGCTCAGGAAGAGGCAGTAGGCGGTTCCTGAACAAGCAAAGGGCTTCACGCATCCATTCGTATCGACAGAGTTGAAATGCTTGTGGCAAAGCGACCTGTTGTTACAAAGTCAAAAAGTTCAAGGATACAAGATTGGTTGATCAAAATTTGTGATTGATTTGAGTCTACAACTAAGGTGGAGTAGTAGCAAATACTGACCCACATCCTGCCATGTATACTCTGCTCGGGCCAGTAGTCGAGTTCCTCTGTGACCTCCAATGCAAACATATAGCCTTTGCAAGCTCCTTCCAGGCTGCAAGTGCCTTGTCTGCTCTTACTTCTGAACACCCAATGACCCAGCTCAACTCCCTGATCATAAATTGCAGATGATCAACACAATCTTTTGAGAGAGAGAAAGAAATCGGTTGTCTAACAAAACTTGAGATACACTAGATGCATCATCCAACATAAAGATTGATGAAGCAGATAAATCTTGTAAACATAAGCTTTCAAAAGTAAACACAGCAGGAGTCCTAATCAGAAATAAGAACGACAACGATTGAATGCTTTCAAGTTGCAGTTAGAAAATGATGGAATGTTTCAAATATACCACCATAGATAAAATAGTTTCATGTTTGATTGAACACCCAATTACTTCAACAATAGAGTGAGTGCAAATAAGGACCCCTTTTCGTGTGTCTCAATCATTCAATTATTTACTGCCAGTTTCATCTTCCGGTAAGTTAAAATGAACTATTTCCAATGTACTCATGTTGCTAAGGACTAGTATGCTAATGCCACCCGAAGTCAACTTAGCGAATAGGTATAAAGCAGTGATTTAGGTATGACAACGATCATTGATGGTCTGCCTACTGGTTAGTTAGATTTGCTTTCTTGTGATCCAAGTGACACCTAAGTTATGCAACTAAAACTCTCAACTATAAACACAAGGCCCCATTTGCATCAGACGAGTAACACGGTGGAGATGGAGCTGTAAGATCATTCCTAAGAACAACTCACATGCGAGATGATGCAGGGGTCAAGCAAACAAGAGACATATCACATGTCCAATGGGTGGGTATGGGGAACACTGATGATGTTAAAAACACTTTGCCATAAAGCTCCAAAAATAATAGTTAGTGACAGCTTTGTTGGAGATGAAAATGACATGATGACTCAATGATAAAGAGTGACATCACACCAATCAAGTTAGATTCTTCGGAAATGGACTTTTTACTTTTCCGAAAAATGGAAGCACCAGACTAAGATATCTGCCAATGGCAAGTCAACATGGAATCCCAAATCACAGAAACTAAAAGCAAGAAAAGAAATAGTTTAATTTTGCCACATACTCTTAGGTAGCAGTCATTGTTAACACCAGTAGAGTTACTAAAATGACTTCTCTTTCAACCAGTATCGATCAGAGATTAAATTCATGACTACAGTTGAGCAAAATATCCAAAGATTGGAATGGAAAACAATGTCTTTTTTCTTTGGGGCATAACATCAAACTAATGGAAGGTGCAATTCAAAGAGATTATCTGATGCAAAAAGAAAAAAAGAAATGACAAGTTTCTGAACTGTATCTTCCTTCTACCAATACTTACTTTGATGATTCCCCTCACACCTGCTTCCTCCAGAGCTTCTCGGCATGCCGCTTCACACGCAGTTTCATCTTTCTCCCAACCACCCTACACCAAGGATCGGACTGTTCAGGAACCTTAACCATCCACATTCTGAACGTGAGGCTAACAAGCAGTTCTTACCTTTGGGAAGATGAGGTCATGTCGACCTGGTGAACTGATCATGAGGACTTCCACTCTGTTCATCAGATCACCAGATTGATTGCTGGAGTTCCCATTTATCTTGTAAGGAATGCATCTGATCAATCCATCAGGACATACATCAAGAATCAGAAACATATACAGAGGGGTAACGAGTGCAAATCTTGTTCCAATGAACCACTACATCATAATCACAAGTCAGCAAAGCTCTACAGGGATGATGGTAAAGACCCCATCATGACAGTTGCTGACAGAAAAGCTACAGAACTACTGTTACCACAGCTCACTAAGATCTAAAAGATCAAAGAAAACTGATATATCTTACTTGAATCTAACGAATAACAGGTTACTGGATTGGATTTCTGATCTAAAGAACTGAAATGTAAGAAGCGTTGAAGCTGAAGTAAATACCCTGCGACAAGCCGAAGCTGGTTCTCATACCGCTGCAGATGTCGACCCTGCCGAGCTAGCAGAGGCGAAGACATGATTCCGCTGGAAGTAAGAAAGCTTACGACTTTAGGGAAGGGAACACAAGAAACAAAATGGAGACGAAATGAGGCAAAAGACAAAGGAATCGATCAACGCGACACGGAGATTAAAAGCACCTCTCACCTGAGATAATATTCTGGTTTCAGAAACAGGGGGTACCGCCCTTGAAACCCTGGGGCCGCAGTTATCACTTCGAAGACCTATTCGAGCCCTCGTTTTGCACAAAGCTCACAACTTTTGGCTCTTAAACCCCTCTTCCTCACAGTCCTGACCTTCCCCACGACGGCATTGCAGAAAACACAAGAAAAACGACGGAGAAATAGCAACAAGAAGCCAAAACAAAGCCCAAGGCAAACGCTAGAGAGTTGGGAGAGAAGAAGACAAGAGAAGAGATTTGCTGCGGCTGCTGCGTCTTCTCGCGCGAGGTATTTAATGCCTCTGGGTCAACGGAACGGCACAGAGATCAACCGATCGGCAATAAAAGCCACGACTTTTCGAAACTGGGCAACACCGACGAGATCGGAAGTGGTCAGAAACCACAACAAGGGGGTGCAAGCTGGGATATTTCACGAGGAAACCGCAATCCTGGGTTGCGTGAACTGCATTAAAAGATAGGGAACGAGGCGCCAACCACCTTTTTGCGGCAGGATCGGATCAACGCTTGTCGTGTACGCCGATAAACCAGTGAAAATTTTGGAATACGTCGTGTCCAGGATAAAGATGACGGTGGTGAGGGATAGAGGAAGGAGTTGACTTTCTGTACGACCTTCTCGAAAGGAGCGTTGACTTTGTCGGTCAAATCTCTTCTTTTACGGCGATTATTTGGTCATTTTGTGGGATTGTTTCGGTCACCCCCGCTCTCTCTCCCCCTCTCGTTCTGGGGAAACAATTCCCCCATGGGACATACCTGCCTTACGATTGGAAGGCATGTACGGATCGGGATGGGACCCACACGGTGGCAAAAGCGTTTGCCGCATAAACGTACCTGCCACACGATTGGTAGGCAGATACGGATCGGACGTGGGACCTACAATGTAGGTGAGAGACAGAAGTGAGCTGTAAACAGGGAAGGTGGAAAGGTTGTGTCCCGTTTGAGCTATCTCGGTTGCCACGCTATTAGAACATAGCTGACACGTAATTAATTCTTATAAGTGGCATTTTGTTATGATCATAGGAAACAATAAATGATAAGGTTGAGTCCGATTTGATCCTTCTTGCTTTTGTTCGAGCAAGACGTACGGGAAGCAAATCCTAGATGGGATGGTCGTGATTATCCGATAAAACTCTTTTTAGATGTTTATGTTTGGGCGATTGTTCGTGAAAATAGTTTTTATAGATTTTTTTTATGATATTTCTTTTTATAGTTTTCAAGCAGTCATCTCTTATCTCTAGTACTTCAAAAATACCCCTTTCAAAAAGCTGTAATTTTTTTTGCTCAATCCAAAAGTTTTTCCCCGAAATGTTTTATGGATTGATTTTTAACTACAAAAACACTATATAGTATTTTGTTTTTAAAATATTATATAGCGTTTTTAAAATAAAATTGCTATATATATTTTAAAAAAAATACTGTATAGTGTTTTTGAACTAAATATTGATATCACAGTATTTTTGAAACAAAAACACTATACAATATTTTTAAAACAAAAACACTATATAGTATTTTTTGGGATAAAAACTATATTGCAAACAGTTGATGGAAAATATTTTTTTGCTTGGACGGGAAAATACATGACAGCTTTTGGAAGGTATTTTAAGGATTTTTGAAATACAAGGTGATTGTGTGTGAATTATGAAAAAAAGGGTATCATCTAAAAATTATCCAAAAAGAATATATTTTCTAGTACAATCTCTTTTTATTGTGTGATTTCTATTTTTAATTTTTTTATAATTTTAATTTAAAAATTTTAAATATTTTTAAACTATCTCTTTACGTATGAACTCAAAGGACGGCATCGAGGGGGCACACGAGTGAGGTTGGATGGTGTTGAGTAGTATTAACGATGACGACAAACAATATTGATAGCAAATTGTGTCAATGGTGATGATGAGCAGCATCAACAGTAAATGGAGAGGCGAGCGACATCGCCTTTGACTGTACCAATGACAAGCATCGAAAGGTTATCATGCAAGCATTAACGGTGTCAACAATCTACATTTGCAATGAGCAAGGTTGATGACAATGACGTTAGTGAAGATGAAATAAGAGGTTATGAGAAAAAAAGATAAAATCAATAATACTGAGTTCGTAGATAGTAAACTAAAAATTATTATTTAAAAAATTATAAATGAAAAAGGATTGTCTATAATAAAAAAGAGATAGTGAATAATATGCATCTTATATTAAAAAAATATGAGATTTAAAATATTTTTTTTAAATGAAAGATACATACGATAAAGTTATCACTACTATTATGATTATAGTAGTAGTAGTATATATATATATATATATATATATATATATATATATATATATATATATATATATATATATATATATATATATATATATATATATATATATATATCTTAAAAT